ACACCTCTGTAAACGGCTCGTGCCATTTCAAGATTTTAGACAATTTTTTTTTTATTCGGTTGATTGGTTGGTTGGTAGATTGTATTGATCGTTTGTTTGTTTGTTTGATGGATGGATGGAGGGATGGTTGTTTTTGTTTGCTTGTTTGTTGGTTGGTTGGTTGGTTGGTTGGTTGGTTGGTTACAGGCTTTCCGTCTCCTTGACTATTCCTACTTTTAGGCTCTGTCTCACAGACGAACGTCAGTGTTTTAGACACGTCAAATTCGTGTCATGAGACGGAGTGAAAATTTCAGAATCGTCAGCGGTGATCTGTGTCGTAGAGACGCTAGAATGTCTAGTGGTATATGCTGCGAATTTTTGCAGTTCTGCGGGGATCTGTGTTGTAGAGACGCTAGGATGTCTAGTGGTATATGCTGTGATACTTTGGGGTTCTACGGGGATCTGTGTCGAAAAGACGCTGTTATTACTAATGGTATTTCAACTATGAAAATTGGTCTGGGTCTTACAGACGTTTCAACTATAATCAGGGTCGGATAAACGCTTCAATAAAGAATGCCGCTCATCGACCGTGATCTAAGTCCTGAGTTCTGTCATGGAATGTGAGACTGATACTAGTTTACAATAACAGGAACATCACTTAACGGAACGGAATGTACAACACTTAACTAAAACGTAAAAAATCATTTTGCACTGGAGAGATTGTGTAGATATCAGTTTAACATTTAAATGTAATTATGTTAACTATCTGGGTATTAACGGCTTGTTGTCATGTGTACCAACGTTTTGTCGTCAAGGTAAAATATGTTCGTGACGTCACCGTTTTGGGAGAAAAGTATGAAAAAACATTAACATTTCGTATAGATAAATCAATCCAGTTTAACTTTCACGCATAGTATCACCTTTGATAATGGTCATGAATAATTGAATTTTATCGAAATGGTTACATTAAATAAAATATTTTCATCGAGATAAAATATATATCGCGTTTAGATATATTTTATAGTGTAGAGAGCACTTCAGTACAACAATCACTACCGCTGAAGCTTCTCGAGAGCGGACATTCATGGGTCTCGTAGATAAAACAGACTACACTCTTCCGTAACACCCGGTGTTAATCTCCTCGTATTTTTTCCTAGAATTTCCTTGTAAATCTTTATTTGTTCATATTTTGCCTTAGTTCATCGAATTTAGGTTTCTGTTTTGTTGACATTTCGGTATTTTGTGGTAGTACTTTACACTTAGCTTATTTTTCAGCACATTTCAATAATAACATTGTGTCTCTATCACGCTGTTATTTCTCTCTAGTTTGCTCCCTGCTGTGCTCGTAAGACATTTATCTTAAACATACGACTTTTATCTTAATCATGTATTTTTTCATAAGACTTTTGTCTTAATAACGTATTTCATCAAGACTTTTATTTTAAACATATATTTCTTCACAGGACTTCTGTTTTTCTTTGGGTTACATGTTTTATTATTCTGCTTGTTGCTGTTTCTTGATCCTGAACTTGTCATTTTGAATATTGGGTTTTGTATCTTTTAAGGGCCCGTTTCATACGACTTGGAAACTTTGAACAAACGAAATCGCTGGAAATACACCTGAACAATTTAAACTGATTCTTTGTTAGCAAAAGGATATTTCCCTTTCGCTGTATTTGCGAATGTCCTAACTCAGATATCTTTGAAAATATTTGATTTTTTTCCTAACGATTCTCATACTGAGCCGATCTCCAGCGAGGATACCGGTTATTTGTTTGGTTTATTTATCATAAGCGTTAAAGGTTACAGAGATAAACATCGAGAAAAGGGGTGAATATGACTAAATTTAAAGCAGATTTTTTTTTATTTCTTAATTTCCTTTGTCGAATTTTTTTTTTTTTGTAATTAAACCTCGTTTTATCTGTCTGATATCATAATATAAGTTAAAAGGTTTCCTCCATTTTACGGTGATGTGCATCAAATTGGATCTGTACATAAATGTAATATGTCAATTAAAACATTTTATAGACTTTCATTTAAATAGCAGAAATTTCTATCTCACTAGGAATCGAGTGGTTACGGCGTCTGACCGTCTTTATCACTAGCCCTTCATTCATGGATCGCCGGTACGACACCTACCTGAGGCAGACGCCAGGTACTGACCACAGGTCGGAGGTTTTTTTCCGGGAATTCCGACTTTCCTCCACCACCCATACCTGGTACGTCCTTAAATCACCCTGGCTGTTAATAGGACGTAAAATAACGATGTAAAAACTACCTTACTAGGAAGTATTAAATGTTACATCGCTCTCATGTTACAGTCATGACGTATTCATTATCTATATAATACTTACAAATAGTAATTTTCCAGCATTTGATGATGTTTTGAAAACGATAATAATAGATGGTTTATATACATATCAGTTTTATTTCCATTCACTCGACTGGATATCCAGAATTTGTTTTCATATCGTTTTCAATTTTCACTTCATTATTCGCTAATACATACATGATATATGTAATAAACATGGGACTTTGATTTCAGTCAATGTTGTGTTATATCGACATGGCAGAATTTTTTTTCCCCTCGGCCTATATCTTAACTGGTTGATATAACACCATATTGACCAAAACGACAGTTCCTTAATTTTCATATTTCATATGTGCAGATAATGTTATCTATTTTTTGCATGTATTCATAAATTAATCTTATGTTAAAATTGAACATTCAGAAAAGTCGTGGATATTTTTCTAAAAGGAATACAGAAATTATTAAACATTTTAACTAATAAAAGGCCCGAATAAGAATAAAGCAGCTTAACCCCTACATTACTATTTATTTATAACGTTAAATAATGTTATTTTTGTGTCAATGTTTTGACATTAAACTCACGTATGTTAAGATAGCATTACAATAACGTTAAAATTTTCTATTTCGTTTTAATTTCTATTCTGATGTTAAATTGTCAACATTAAAGATTCAAAACGTTATTCCAGCGTTTGAATTTAACGTTAATTGACGTTGAGAAAAAATACGCTTTATCAACGTTGAAATGACGTTAAAATAATGTTATTTTTTATAACGTTGAAATGACGTTATGAAATATTGTCTGTGTACGATATATTTAACATACATCGGGGTTCATATGGTTTGTCTATTCTAAATTTAGAAATAAAAATAATAATTATATTTCAATAAGTGGAATGGGTACTTTTTAGAGTTATCACCAGCCAAATTATTGAAGGTTCCACTTCCGGAGATTTTCATATAGAAGCAATAATATTCTAATTATCTATAGTTTTCAAACTTTGAACTTACTATCTCGTCCACACCTGATATCTGTGCTCTATAATCATTACTCCACCGGATATATAGTTTCTTATCTATGACACAAATCTTCAAATAATTTTATATAGAGCAATATGACCCGTATCAATATATTTCAGAAAATGAGAGTTTTCAGGGCTAGGTATTACCTAATGCCGATGTGTAAACGATCTTTCAGAAAATTTTTGTATCTACATATATAGCAAATCGAAAAGTTTGAAATGAAATATATAAAATAGTTAAACAAAATAATGAAATAATTTTTTTTTATTTTGTTAAGATTTGTTATACTCTTGGAAAATAGTTGAAAATAACGTATATAAAATTGTTGACGCCTTACATCCTGTAACGGCCGCAAGATTTTAGATCTATAGACCTATATATATAAAAAAAAAACATGTTTATCATATCGATGAACGTTAATGTCGATCACACACACCGGAACCGGAAACGACCAGATACATTAATCATACTGTACTATTTCACCGATAAATCGAGAAATCTAAACTATCAATTGAGAATTTCAATAGCGAGCACGAGAACTACATGTCATTATATTGATTTGTAGAGTGTCAACATCTATCTCCATTCATACAGAAATTATTGATACCCTGTTTGTTTTATTCATATTAATAAACAAAATAAAATGAACAATGATGAAAGGACAAAGAGGTTGTATAAATATAACCTTGTCGATATTAGTTTGTATTGTTGACGAAGTGACATGCAAGGGTGGTCCTCATTTATAGTCGTATTACAGTCTGATCGACCGACCTAATCGGCGAGGACAACAGAAAAATATTATCAGATCAATACTGATAATGGACCATGATAAATGAGGGAAACTCCGTTTGTTCCGTGACGTCATTATTGGTTTTGATGACAACGTGACACTTATACTGCATATTACGGCACGAGACGACAGATCCTTTCAGGTTCTGGTCAATACTGTTTTGTGTGTGTAATGAGTATTTACGCGAGGCAGGTCGTTACAATAAGTCCCCTCCCCGTTGTTCGCATATCGCCGTTATTGTGGATCTAAACGGCTTTGTCCCTTAATCTAATGGTCACTTTTGGTCAATAACATTAACACAGGTAGAGATCCTGTTATAAATACATGCAGTAATAGATAAGATAAGGTACCTCTTTATGGCTCGTCACCCGGCTATTGTTACTACTGTAATAGGGGCTGACGCCAATCGCCTTGGGCAGTCTGGCGCTGGTCTACCGTACAATTTTATTGGCAAACTATACAATATCTGGTTTACATTGAACAGAATTAATTAATATTATGTCAATATCGAATTTATATTTGAAAAAAAAAATCTGTTTATGTTCTAAAACCACAGCGCACGCTCATGTGAGAACATTAAATAAGACTTATCAATCAAAGCACAAGGGGCGGGTCTATGCGTTACTGTACCCGGCTTACCCGACCAGAAATGGGCGGAGCGAATCTGTAAGTGGGCGCGGCGCTAGTGATATGGACCAATGCGCCGGTGGCTGACGGTGGTCTGAAGTAAGGAATTGTGTCCATAACCGCCAAGTTTTGACACCTTCTGTTCGACAAGGTGAAGACGTGTGGGCTATTAGAATGCAAACATAATCAGGTCGTTAAGTTTGTCACTGACTATACCCTGTTCCTCTTCAACATTATAAACGCTGTACATTGACCAGTGATTCTATACTTATCATGGCGTTTGCTGCCCATTTCGGCTTCTCGCCTCCAACATCCGGGGGTTTACAAGCGCAACAGGTAAGTCAGCATCCTTCAAGATCATTTTTGTATCTTCATATCCACCTGGATCGTGTTGTCGCTGGCTTCTTTCCTGTGTGTTTTGTGTAGCTATCTATCTGTGCTTTGGTGTGTTGAAGTCCTCTATGTCGATGTTACATTCCGTTCACCCGAGGTTTTACACCCGGACAGAACCGCCTAACTTTTGTATGGAAGTACCGGGTTAAACACCATTGTAGTGATGATATAACGGACTTCTTATAACTGTCTTACCAATATAAGATCGAAGTAAATTAAATATGTAAGATTTATCATAAAAACTACATTTATCAATATTGACAGATTGAAGAGAGAAACTAATTAATTTATAAATCAAAAATACAAACACGTTTATCATTTAGTTAAGACAAACTCGAATTCAGGACATTGAAACAGTGAAAGCAACAGAAAGTATTTGACTTAAATATTGATTCACATTATAAAAGTTTGAAGTCAAATGTAAACATATATTGATATATGTATTAAGTGAAACAAAGTTTGCCTGTTGCTGTTTAGCATTGACGGAGAATTCCGTGTACAATTAGCAATGAAGTGTAAAAACACACTTTTATCTAAGTAAAGCGAAACGAATATTGTTATCGATATTTTATCAAACACGGTCATAATGTTAAGTAAGGTATATATGTAAACTTATTTTCTGTCACTACTGAACGTTGTCTATCTGTTCTACTAGCAAACTGTTATGTCTAACAGGCGGCAATGTAAACGTGAAAAATATGATAAAAAAATAATAAAAACGAAATGAATATATATTATCCCTATGTATCGATTTCAATGTTTAAGGCCCCTAAAAATGTTGTGTAAGATTATAAAATGAATCATCTCCCCAATAAATAAATAAGCAGTTTGATAATACGGGGAAATATTTCACACAATTAAAAAGTATCTATATATGTAAAATACATACAATGGACTCCAAGCACGTGTTGCCAACTGAATTATGCTTTGTAAGGGATCTACTGAACACAGTAAACAATATTTGTCAATGAATTGATCAGTGATTCTGGAACTCACAAATTGGAGACCTGGACTCAAGATTTTCCTGTGAGTCTCACTCAAAGTTTGGTGACCCACTTTATCTCTAAGTATTGGGACTTATCAAAATTTTGGAAATTTTGGACTCGCCTGAAAAAAAAACCCACAAAAAATTCTGTTGATACTAAAACAGCAACGTATATTCGAAAGACAATCTAAAACTGCATCAAATTAAATAAGAAAATAATTAATTGATTGCACAATTTTTTTTTCGTTTTGCATGCATTATAATCAATATATAATATTCTCATAAAAAACAGTAACTTCACTGTGTCATGTTTTGTTAAATAATGATAAAAAATGTAAAAATCAATTCAATTTATCCGAAACATACTTATCATTCACTGCATTTTAATTCGAGACAAAAATAAAAAGTTAAGAAAATTCAACATTTTTTCTCTCAGTTTCACCCGCTCTAGTCACTGGCCTTAACTGTTACACCGTGTTTTGCCATAAATTTTCTTTTCTTGCAACGTATCATTTATCATTAACAAAAAAATTCAATCCATGATGTTTTCTGCAAGTCATTCTACAAGCACAATTAAAGTCGAAATTAGGATTGATCAAAATAAGGAATTCGATAACCGCCAATACCAGTGAAGAAATTTCAAAAGCCGGCGAAAGACAGTTCAAAAGACACAAAAGTGAATATTACTTTCTCATACAAATTTAAAATAAGGGAAAGTAGAACAAAATGATAAATTAAAGTGTATCATACAGCTGTTTCATCCTTCTAGATATCGTCAGTAATGCTAGGAGCCTAGGAAGTGACTGAGATCATTTCAGTGCAACCGACAAATAGATCAAAATTTAAGAGGGGGAGGGAGGTGCACTGGCCCCACATATATATATATATATTTTTTTTTTTATTTGCAATTTTCATATATAACTAATTATTCTTGAGTAACGTCAAGCACGTGTGTATATTCTGAAGCATGTCACTGTTTGAATGAGTTCAAAAGAGGCATGCAGGTTACAGCAAACCTAGGGGGACGATCAAACATACTTAACAGTAAGAAAAACTGATAAAAACTGATAAAATATGAATTTTGTTTAAATTGTTCTACCTTATATACAGAATAATTAGCGATAAGACACTACACAGATTGATATTGCTCACAATTAGCATGATCATACGTCACATAGATTTCTCACACTAGGATTAATATTCTTAAGTTGCCGTATGTATGATCATCAGGACGTTGTGTTTGAACATCTAACTGTAGGCACAGATAACAATAATATGGGTTACTTAGAATGTGTAATGTCAAAAATAATATTATCATGAATCATTTAAAAGTGAAATCTAAATGACGTTAGGTACAATTATAACAAATAGACTAGGGTTCATTACAAAACAAATGTAAGTAAACAATACAACAGGACTGTTTACTGTTCTGTAGACAAGATACATTCTTTTGTAAAAAAATAAAATAAAATTTCTATTGCGTATAAACTTGATTTATTTTCTTCAAGTTACATATTACTTTTGTTAGTGGACATTAAACTAGAAATCTTTTCTCTGTTATGAATCCGGCGGTTTTTCCCGCCTTTTCTGGTTTCTTTCAATCTGCAGGTATTATTTCATTACTGTGTGTGATACTTATGTCTGTAGGATAGATTGTAACAAACTTGTCATACATCTCAGAATGCGAGCCTTTTTTAAAAAAGTATTATCGTTACTAGAAACATACTTTTCACAGTATAGCTGTATAATTGATTTCAATTTACAATATCTTTTATTATCATAAAGCTAAATATTGTTCAAAAGTTTGTCTTTTTAACTTTTGAATTATCTCCTCTATTGCTTTTTGTATGACACAATAAAGGTACATGTGTGTCTTGTACTACGGGTAAACTAGCAGAGTCTGACAGCCTTCTCTCTAACTAAAGGGATAGTTATAATAAAGATGATACAATATTTTGTTGAAAAAAGGAGAAAATTTTCCTACTTAGATGCCGAGCTTGTGCATCGTTTAATTTTTACAAATGCAACAACATTTACCCTCAAGATTCACACAATGAAATCTACAACAGACTCAAGAAAAATTTAATCTTTATTTATGAATGCATATTTTTCTCTAAGAATATCACATATTTCTAAAGACGTATCATCGTTATGCTCATTTGTTACTTTGTAAAATGTTTAAATTCATTTCATCTTTATAAAATTATATGAATAGATTGATTAGTTCACAACGATATAAAACGACCGTAGTAAGAAGTGGATTTAGATAGGCTGAAGTGCGATTCCGTTGACCAATCAATGTCTTTGTCTTTAAAATTGGTCGGAACTGAAATTTAAAATTGAATTTTGAAGCCAAATTTTATTACATATTTTTATATAAAAACAAAATGCATTGAAACTGAAAAAAAAAACCAAATGAAAAATACTATTTTGAAATGTTGAAAGATAAAAAGAGTTACAGCGAGATAATAACAGACTTGTATCACTGACAGTAGACCAGAAGTCAGTTTTTTTCTTTATCAATAACAAACCCAAAATGTAAGCAAAGCAAAAGAGACGCCAAAACAGTCAATAAACATTTTATTAATGTGTTTTATTTCCCAGTGTACGGCTACAATTCTAATTATTTAACTTTTGCGTAATAATGATATACACACGTTGAGATGTGATTACAGATTCTAGATTTTGTTGGTTTCTCGCCAATCCAACTCTCAGCTAGGTTGATCGTACAAAGAAAAAACCCTAACATGTAAGGTGCCGTCTTTTATATTGAAACATAAACAAGATACAAAGGCTAGATATCGCTGTGAAGTTATATCACTGATTTCTATATTAGAAATTAAAAAAAAAAAAAAAAAACGTGCACCACACTAATTAATTGTCAGGTTATGCGAAATATATATTTTTGGCAATAAATCTGATCGCTGTATTTCTTGATAATTACTTTATTCAAAGCTGATATTACATGATAGTATGTATATACATAGTTGTTACACAGTATAATCATCACCGTTACTTTAAATATACCGGTGTTCGAGTTGCGTATTTTCTCACACAAAATAATTATATATTGGTTTTGTGGTTCAAGCAATTGCGAAACGAGTTTTTCCAACTTGTATTAATTACTCTTGTGGGCCTGGGTGGAAGCACGTGAGGAGTCTAACTGTGGAGGAAACTGAAATACCCGGGGAAACCCACGAGGTCTGGCAGATGACCCATTTTCACATCCATTCCGTGAATCGAACTCCGGACGGTTAGGTGAAAGGCGAGTTCATTATCACTGCGCCTCCCGACCTCCCTCTTGCTTGCTACATAAACTGACATAGTGTTCGATTTTTTTCAATTGTATAAAGTTTTCTATAAAGTATTTCATATATATCATATAAACTTTCATATCATCTATAATACCTAGATACTTACATGTGTATTGTTACTTATTTACAACATATGGTATCTTTGGTTGATAAACTGCATAAAAACGTTTATCAGTCTTTAATGCAGAGGTAAATAAGGTGAAAAAAAGACAGACGAAACAACCCTGCATGAAAAAAAAACAGATAACTTTTTTAAAGTTTAATCTTTATTATATAGCCGTGATCGTCTACACTCTACGCTTACCCTTCTGAGACGCACTTATCTATGGAGATTTTGATGCTCTCCGTTTTTTTTCTTGTTATGACGCTTCTGTATGGGGGGGATATTAACTTTCCGATTCATTTCCAAAACGACAATTACATTGCTAAGTGGTTTTTTATCGGATATGAATACAGCTGTACAATGATAGGATACTATTCGAATCGTATTAAATACGATGGCCCTGTGGCCTCTGGTATAGAAAGCATTTATCGTAAATCACTTTTTTAACATAGATTATCGTGTACAAATCAATTATTTCGTTTAAACATTTTTTTTACAAATCACAGGAACAGATTTTTAAAGCAAAAATGAAATATTTATTTTAAAATCACAAAAAAAACAACTAAAACTTTGGGTACGTTCCAAATTTTTTATGGTATAAACTAGTTTGAACTCATTTCTGTGTTTTTTTTACAAGTATAGTGATTTTTTTAAACACATTTGTGATTTTAATTTTTTTATGAATTAAATGAAAATGGTATCACGTTGTAAAAATTCAGTTTTGTTACCAAAAAACTGTCAGCGAAGCAATAGATTATTGATAAATAATCAGAACAGTGATTAATTTGAATATTGTAATTAACACGTTTGTTGTTAATGTTTATTTCGTAGCAGATCTTTAAAAGCATTGTCTTTTAGAAGAGCAAAAGAAAAAAAAATAATGTAGAAAAATTTTTCAAAAAAATATAAGATGTTTGAAAATTGACAGATGCAGAGGTACACTTTGATATGATGAATATTTAAAACGTCGTAATCAGTCACTTTGAATCCATTTCAATGTACTTGAATTATTTATAACATTTATTTGTATCAAAATGGAAAGATAACAAATGTATGTAACTAAAAAACAACTTTTTGTAACCTTATAGCAATTATTTTGTAATATGTTTGTACATGTAACACTTTGTCAGATTTGAGAATTGTTGTAACACACAGAGACATGAATTATTAATGGCTGTACAGCCGTTACGGTAGTCTGTTTATTTACATATACAATGTATATTTTTTTATCTATATAAAAGCACCTGTTCACACTCGACTTATATACACCGTATCAGCAAAAATGAAATTAAGCGTTTTTATGAAGATTTGTTAAATGGAGTTTGCTAATGGTGATGATATAGAACGACAAAATTTGTGTAACAGGACATACGAGATAGGGTTTTCGTTTCTGATAAAATTGACACTTAAATGACAGAGACTTAGCATTTCTTAAACTGATGTACATCTGAATGAGAAAGATACGAATATGGGCACCTTCAGACAGATGCAAATCTCGCCATTGTCGCCTCTCGTGTTTACATCCTTGCGAAATCATTTAAATAAGATGATACTTGGCCATTTAAATGGACTTTAATGGATATATTTGATAATGTAAAACTTCAGCTATAGATTTTTATGAAAGATATTATAAATAATTTGTGCAACTCATCTTTGTCAATAAATTGTATTAGTCAGCCAGGCGAATGGGTTAAAAATCCTGGGCAGGTCGTGGTAACAAAGTTGGACAGATTTTTTCTTCGTAAGGAAATTAAACGCGTCGATCGTTACGCCACCTTTTTTATATCAGTATTTAATAGTATAAGGTCTGCCATATAATAGTTATATCTGATCAGTACACACAACTTTCAGTACAGCGCTAACAACATCATTTATTTATTGACGACAAATATGACTACATTAAAATGTTCTTGTTAGAATGTTGAGCGGCAAATTGTTAAAATGTTCACAGCGGAGTTTGACAAATGGGAATGAACGGCGTACATAAAAAAATTATATTTGCAGTCCATTTTAAATTTAAAAATCCAATAAAAATGTTTCACTACTTTGATTTTTTATGAGATAGTCACGTTATCTGCAAGAAGCATTTTTAAGCCTCCAACAAACAGCGATTTGGAAGATTGATTACTCTCAACAGGGATTTTCTAGATGGCGTTCCTATACATTAAGTGGCACATTGCTGCGCTTTAGATGGTTTTAGTCATAATTGAATATCTAGGCAGTAGTTCTTAATTAACATTAAGAAAGACAGCTTGTGTCGCCTTAAACTTTCGTTGCACATCATTACTATCATTGAATATGGACACATTACGAAATTGCATTACAGAATTGAAACAAGATATTTATTTTTTGTGTGTGTTTAAATTTAACTTCTCGATAGGAGCAGGGCAATTATTTTATCTAATGAACCTTTAAACAAACGATGAAGCATGATAATATTATTCAAAATGTTTATTGGGATATCAAACTAATCGGAAAAATTATTTTAATTATTGCCTTTAAGAGAATCTTTTAATACGCAAATGTTTGACCACGTCAATGAGAACCTTGTACAGACTGAAAAACTCTAGGCTCTGACATAAATTGAATAATTTTCATTAGTTTTCTTTTCTATTACATAATGTATTTATTGACAGTGACGGTCATATGTAAAGTATTAGAATGTTCTATACAAACATGTAGTGTACTTTCGTTTTACAATCATTTATAACGTTTTCTCTTTGATTTGATGGCCCTCGATATTGCTTTTCGTCTTTCTTTCGATTTGATGTCTCACCAATTTCCCCGATTGTCGCCCTTTGATTTGCTGTTGCCACATGTCTCGCTGTTTAATTTTTTTTATTCTTTTTTCTTTTTTTGCAATGACAAGGGTATTCAGAACAGTTTAAACTGGTGCCTTCCTGTAGTCTGAGGCCAATTTATTTCCCTCTGTTGTCATTTCGTCCTATTTGAAATCTCATCTTCACAGTTCATACTGTTGCCTTCCTGTAGTTTGAGCCCAACTTAATTCCCGCTGTTGTCATTTCTTTCACTCAATACGTGTATTATATAACAATCTATTTATTGAGGCTATTGTCATCCAACGTAACCGACAGCAACCAGCGTGATGCTAAGCTGCTGACAAATTAAATGCTTCACATCTGTTACATTTTCATAAATAATTGACGTATTGTTTTGTTTTTGAATTTATGTAAACATGTAACTACATTCTGGTATCTTATTTCAGGAGAACTTTATATCATTTTTAATAGCGCAAATTATTTCTACCTTCTGGTTAGAGTTGTTGTCAATAAAGACAACTGTTGTCATAACTAATGAAAGAAAGGCTATATATTACCTTTACACGGTGTTAAACGATTGATTACAAATGCAAATAACTACTGACATCAATATCTTTCGTGGAGAGCAGTTCACTTGCACGAAATTTAACTAATCATTGAACTAGAGCACCACACTGTCTATATTTTGAATTTACCTTGGCTTTTTCTCAGTCTCTTCCGAGTCTTCAGGATATAGGCGCTTACAATCACTAATGAGTCCAACCGGGACGAAACAGCTGTATGATGCGGTTTAATTCATTGTTTGGCTTCACTTTACTTAACCCTAAATTTGTGATAAAAGGTGCCATTTAATTATATGTCTTTTGTAAATGTTTTTTATCAGTCTAAATCTGTTTAAGTTGATTTCCATATCGTTTTAGTATGCTTAGTGTTTTACTGGTAAACCAAATCGCGGTAATATTCCTGTCGGAAATAGAGATGAAAATAAGTAGAAAATAAACAAATCAATCATAACTTTCAGTGAATTTATCAATCACTAGAAAGTTCTTTTGTCATTTCGCCAACACTCAATACAATTGTTTGATATTACATAGTGAAATTTGACCCTCAGGAGCACTTAGTTTCCCATTGTTTCCATTGTGACGTCCTAACTTTGTTCACCAACATAAAGTGACGTCATCAAAGAAAGATATATAGCGTTTGAATACCGCCAATTTAGATTTTGTTTCAGTGTAATCAAATAATGTGTTTACAAATGCTTGGAAATAACCAAAGTTGCGCTATAAAAATAAACTGCAAGAAAATACCAACATGTCAGCATAATCATAAACCAAGTTAACTTCAAAAGAACTAGAGCAAAATGTGGACAAAAGAAACATTTACAGTGTTTCGAAGAGTAAGCGTTTTCTGCTTCATCGACGACACCCGCGTGTAAAGCTTGGTCAATCCAAGTAAATAATGTCACGTTCTCAAAATGAGAGTAAAGTATGCAACAAGCAATAAGAAAACTAACTAGCATCAAACACGTCTTGCTTCATATCACAGAAAAAAAATAGAATATTTCTCAATGAGATCACTAAGACGACCGTAAAATGTCTCCAAAATTTTCATCCACCTGCATCTTTTGAAACTCTGTTATGAGTTTGTCCGTCAGTTGACGACCTCTTGCACGAAAATTGAGGATGCGAGGTTGTTGTGTTCCAGATATAGGAAATTCACGATATAGAAATTGAAATCATCTCGCTTATCATTTAGCCTAGTGAAAAAGGAAAAGTCAATATAATAAACACCATTTTACATTTGATTCCATATCACGTGGTATTAATGAAACCTGTCGAGAATTGTTCATTTTTCCTCGCACAGCTTGGTGAAATGAAAAATTCCAAGACCTGTTCATAAAGCTGTCATAATTGGCAACACAGGTAAAAGATTCACGATCTAACGACTATTATGTAAGCAATGAAATGGACAATACCCAGGTGGAGTTGAGAATTTATCAGGCAAAATTATTTTTTATTTGTCACAGCTGATGTTAGCGACAAAGACAACTGGCAGTCAGTCCTCCCCAGGGGTGGTCGATAGTGGGCGTGGACTTATTCCAGGAGAGAGAGGTGGTGTGTTACCAGGAGAAAGTTTGCCCATCGGTGCTGCGATACCATACCTGTCTCGCATGGCTGGTCTGCCCGAAAGTGTGTACGCCCAAGCAGCCGTGACCTCTCCTGGTGCTGGAATTGAACCCTCGGCCTTCTACGCCCTGGTAAGATATATATTCCAATTGGTACGCGTTAAGTTGAAATTCAGTTCTTTTGCTTCTTATTTTCGTTATGATATATAAAGCCAGAGACATATACATTTTGATTAATATTCCTAAATAGTGTATTTGTCTTAAAAAAGACCAAATACAAAGAAGAAAAAAAGAGAAAGAAAACACTCGGAAATATGTACCGATATACAGTTATTTTACCTTTAAAGTAGATTCTTTCGAGATATAGATAGACGTTACTAGTAAACAAAATGTACAAAGAGCATTCCAAGGTTCAAAATATGTCACGATGAACTGCACCTAAACAAGAGAATGACATAACATGTAGTTCCTGAATGCACTTCCAGCGCTGTCTGCCATTGATTAAAAAACATTATTCTTTTATGATATCAAATGTTAAGTTAAGTTGAATGATATTTATAATAATATTTATTAAAAATTAAAGAAATTAGGTTGTTATCATGATTTTATCGACAATGTAATTTGCTATTAAAAATGAAGTTATCATATGCAACTTGGCTTGGCAACAAACAGCCTAAATGTTTTTCAACAAAAAATTCTCGTCAAATAATAACATACTTTATTTTATGATTAACCACAAAATATTAGTTCATCAATCTTTATTGTGTCAGTAATGATAAGTAGATGTGATTTTTGGAATCCAGTGTGTTTAGGTCATATCTTTGTAAGTATACAATCGCGTGCTAATTATTTTTGGAAAAACAGCATATAAACTGTACATTGAACCTAAATTGTTCAGATAACTGAATTTAGAATAATCAGAACGCCATACCTTATGAAATATAAGAATACTGTTCACAACAAACGAGGCATTATCTTATAATTTCACTTTTAGTATCGGTACAGAATTGATTTGATTTAAACATATTTATTGCCCCAAAATTGAGCAGAGGATTAGGCACAAGTTATTTCAACTTATGACCGCCAGAAATGTACACATTCATCTATATATTCATTCCCAGAGCTCTAATGAAAGTTGTGATTTTTCTTAAACACATTTAGTATTGAATCTCAGATGTGGAGGAGCCAGAGAAAAATCCGACGAATACTTTAAGAAAGGAGAAAAAAAGCTTTCTTCAATCGCCAAGATTTAGAATATCAGTAATGAATCTGCACAAAACGAATGACGAACATGGCTTGCAAATATCAAGATGTTGTTGAGTAATTTGACTACATGTATATATTGTTAAAGAGATATTTTAAACTTACACTACAAAACCAGCAACAGAAATTATACCATTCATGCAACTTTAATTGATAACACAACTGAAAACATTTGTCTCCAATAAAAGAGGAAGGTTACCAGTTTTGTCAATAAAGAAATATGTACACAGTGCGATCAATTCTTAATGCCTTACTAGGTAAACTGTTTGAAGAGCAACGATACTTACTGACAAAAACACCGACCTGAAAATAGGAAAATGTCGTCATTAATCTTCATTACTACTATTTAAAATTCCTTTTAAATGACGTTAGCAGTATATAACTATTGTACACTACTTTTTATTCAAGTAAAATCATTAATAATTGCAAATATCAAATATTTTATTGTCATAATATCAATTTCAAGTCAACATTTCATAAAATCTTTAGATATTCGTCTTAAAAAAAAAATTAAAGACACATAATCGATAACGAAAAAAAATTAACATTTAATGAGTTGATCTTTACACAAACTATATAACACATATAATTGTATAGCAGTTTCAGTCTTTTTTTCATTGTTACCAATATCTTTTTAATACGAGTAACATTGTCTTTATTTGATAAACTTAAGTTTAAAGATATGCCAATGCACTGTTATATCAACATATTATAAACTTGTTTTAGAAATCAAACTGAGGTATGCAATTCCAAAACAAGTTCATAATATGTTGATATAACAGTGCATTGGCATATCTTTAAACTTTTTTCTCGTCTAACGATGTATGTACGGTCCTTTCAGAACGGAGCTGCCCAGGGTTTATCTGCAGACCGGTCACATGAGCTGTGGAAGAACCTCCACCAGCAGTCACCTATGCTTTACCCTTTTGATCCGATGTTGGCGACACACCCCTATGGTGCTTTGTAAGTATGCCAATAGAAATATTATAACAAACTGGTATAATAATGTACATTTTAGTTTCAAACTTCTTGTAACGTTCAAACATTGCAAATAATGTAAAAAAAAAGTATCGCTGTAGCAATGTGTTAAATGATAAACAAATAAGGTGATTTAGAACTGTAATTTGATTTATCATTGTACATATGATATAATTCAGAGTTGTCTCATGTTTGTTTCAGTTATGGGGGATTTGACTTAAACAATGCTGCTCGTAGGAAGAACGCCACCCGTGAAACGACAAGTGCTCTAAAAGCATGGTTATACGAACATAGAAAGAACCCTTACCCTACCAAGGGCGAGAAAATCATGCTGGCCATCATCACAAAGATGACCTTAACACAGGTCAGCACGTGGTTCGCCAACGCCAGAAGAAGACTTAAAAAGGAAAGTAAAGTTGGTTGGAACAAAGACAAAGATATCGACGACAATGATGACAGCGATGTTGATGTTGAAGGCCGAGGTACAGCAGATGATTCTGATGACGAAGGTACGACATATCTTATATCTTTAAAAAAAAACTAGTCTTATTTTAAAATTGAATATTGTTGAATAAGTCTAAAGCTAAGCGTCTTGATCAATATATACATATGTCTGAGTATTTGCGAAAAAACTTGGAATGATCCCAATAGCACACTCCACTATCGTCTTAGAAACTCATAGCATTGCTGTAAGAGATGGATCCGACCTCGCCATCCCGAGATGTAGGAGTAGATTTATTTGGGGAATATCATGTGAGTTTGTCACTGCTACTCGTACAGCCAGGTATTTATGTTCCATGGTATAATCTGAAAGCCTACTTGCTTAATTAAAACTATAATCTGGTCCTGATCGCCTGTACCTGGGAAGCAGATGCCTGCATTGAATAGTAAGCCGATGATGTAAAGTAGCCTCGACGATATTTGACACTAATGCATGTATTTTGGACATAAGAAATTTGTAATAGGAGCGCTTAGTTCGATTTATCAAACGGGTGTCTTTTTAACAATGAAAGGCCGCGAGTAACTCGCACCTATTTAGGAAAGCGGACACCTTTAGTCAATAAGAAGATAAACGTTTGTACACACCTCACCGGCAGGGCTAACGCGGGCCCAATGACAGGCGATGTTATCGCGCACATTTCCTCTTTGTACGTCACACTGTAGCACTACCAAAGCACTACCTTGAAACGTTTCATAAATTTTATGAGTTAGTATTATTCTTTCAAGATATAATATTACAACAAATTATGCGATAAGTATCTTGTCAGAGGAGATGTCCGCATAAATTGAATATCTGTCATACTAAGGTGTCATCTAGCACATTTAAAGTATTGCATATAATGCCTTAACTATTAATTCCTTTCATTAAACAGGCGTGGGGCATATGGTTCCATTCTGTAAGTCCTTCACATAAACATCTTTTGTACAAGAAATACACACATTTAATGTCTCTAAAATTTGATATCTTTCTTTGACGTTTAGAAAGTATGTTTACCACCTACAGGTAGAGAAGTAACATTTGAGAAATGTGTTACGGTGTATCGCATTACAGCTGTAGGGAGCACTGCCAGGCGCTCAGACTTACCGTCTTCTACAGATTGGTGGGGTGACACTTAATCCATGTCATACAACCGACATACCGTATTCATATTAAATAGACATATTATTGAAACACGTTTCCTAGCATATCAATGTAAAAAAAATCTTCACCTAACAAATATATGTAGAATACACACTGAATTAAATACTTTATTTACCATATCAATGTGAAATGGAATTATATTACTTTTTTTATATTTTTGTAAAATACACAAAACCATATTGATATATGAAGGATTCTTCCTTTTTAAACACTCATGGAGTACTTCATCTGAAGGATTTCTTCCGATACCTTAGCTTTATCTATCCTTGTACTGGCCAGCATTAAAACCTGACGTACTATCAACTGTAAACCTTATGCGAAGACCGAAGTTCATTGTAGTCCATCAAATGGATTAAAAATAAGGCAGCTTAGTGCGATAAATTATTTTCTAAGTTTAGAATATAAAATGTTTCGTTTCTTATGCAAAAAAAAGTATGAATGTTTAAACTCTTATAGTGTACGGTTTTTTTTGTATTTTTCACTCCTGATGCTAGAACGAAAAGTTGATAATGAAAATATTATTAATTTTGGAAAATACCTAACCTCAAACTGATAATTCCATATTTACTTCTGTTTGATAAACAAAATTTGGTATTCAAAGGCCTCGAGGTATCATGGATTCGTTGGAATGTTTTTCATTATAATGTTGTTTAATTATTTTAATAAAAAATAAAGTATTTGGTGATATTCTACTCCCTATCACTGAAAACAGCAATTTAAAGGAAGTGAAATCAAAATGAAAATATCTTTTTCACGATCTATGCAACGTGCATTTAAATCCAGGTAACAGGCATTCTATTTGTATTTTATGCTAATGTTACAAGGATCGATCATTTGTTAAATATCATCTTTGATATTTTCCGGCATTTTAATTTACACAAATCAAAATCCACATCGTTCATCAGTTACAGCTGACTCTAATCTTTCCTTTACAAACACACTCAAGGTGAATTTACATAACCATATGATAGGATGGAAAAATCAAAAAGAGATAATAGGAATAACGAAAAATCAATTGTGTTATAAAAATTGAGTATATTTCATATATAAAGCAAACTTGAAATCGTAACTGCATCTTACAGTTCTACACCTATTTAACTGATCTATTAACTAGAAAAACAAACCCCATATGAACTAAAGTAACCAATAATCTATTCACAGCATAGTAATTGTTTTGGCTAACGACTTTGTGATAGCTGTCACATTCAGCGTCTACTGTGCTATTTTATTTATCTGTGTTTCTGTAATATATCTGTTATAAAACTAAGTTGGTCTTGACTTACATTTTGAAATTCCATTTGAAAAATGTTTTTAATCTCTCGAACTTGCTTTTTTTTATTATGTATTCCATTCTTACCTAATTTACATCCTATCATACACATTTCATTCGCAAGCTTCAGGTTACTCTGAACTGATCTATTATATAATACGAAAACGTTTGTAAGTCGAGCTAAATTCTTAATTCTTGCAACAAATTCACGAGATTATGGTTTTGTTATGGTTATTTGTGTTTTAACAACAAAACTTTTAAAACAAAAACGATGCACTTTGCAAGGAAAACGTGACAAATTTATTATAAATGTCTAATTCACGAAAACAAAAGATAGAAATGACATCATTTGCAATATTTTCCATCCCTCGGTGATATTGTATTTTCTTTAAGATTATTGTTTTTTCCATTTTATTTTATTTTTGCATTCCCCGTGTATGAGTAATCTTGTGTTGTATTCATTACTTTCCATATATTCAAGTCTACATGTGTAATTGTTGTTAAATATATCTATGACATAGAAGTAAAACTTAGCTTCAAATATAATTTGTTTCTTGTTTCTGAGTGTTACTTAGAGAGCAGGATGTTAATTTCTTTAACCGATTACCATACTCTATTAGGATAAAAAAATCTGGTCTTGACTATACAATATGTAAATTCAGTGAATTATTATAGGATAAAACGTAAAGAAAGATAACAATAAAATTGTTGATAATATTTATGGAACATATGGTTTACAGAAGTACGCTTACCGACTATTTTCTCCCTATAAAGGATTTATCAGAGATTTTAAACCGTATTTTTTATTCGTTTTTTATCCATGTTAGTTCTACCTCCTACCTTGAGCTGAACAACCGATTATTCATCGAGAATACATAGCCAAGACGTATAACCAGTCTTCCTAGTTAGTGACACCCAAATATCATTTAAAATGTCAAGAGGTAAAAAATCTATGTAAGCTGAACCCCTGACAGGACTACAGATGTAAAACTAATAAACATTTAATGACACAAAGGCTAGCGGATCAAGAAACCATCTCCCTAATTTTGTAGAAGATTTTTGGCCAGTACACAATACATATTGGAGAATTATGGCAGTATCCATGATCGCCATCTTGAATTCATTTCCATTTTTAATAGTTGTAATCCTAACCGCCCATTGTCAGAGAATCCGTTGATAAGATCTAAAGATGAAATGGGGACAGACAAACTAGCTAGCGCGGCGATAGCCTTCAGTATTCACGGCAAGCCATCACACAAGGCGGCTGATATTTCATGTGTTAAAATCAAGATATCATTTGATAACACGGGATATCCCCTCGTGTCATGGCCCTCCCCACAATACCGAACATGAGATTTTCCGCAGGCGAATGAGTTTGTATTTAACACAGAATATTTAATAGGATCAGCTCCGCATTATCGCACTTAGAGCATCACAAAATGGACGGTAGGATAGAATTGCATAACATATGTTTTGTGCATTAAATTACATTGAAATACCACTAGTAAAAAGCATTAATTCAATCTAGATCAAACCTGACGCATATATCATTTTATCTCTTTTTTTATTGAATATTAATCATACTTCCATACTATTTGGAATTACGTCCGTGTTGGTCTCCGCTTCTCTTTCTGGTGGGACAGTCTGTATGGATAAATGATCGTTCGAACTTGAGCCTCGGTTTGAAGTGTTGATCCGGCTATCTGTAGGAACCATCACCTCCAGTGTGTAGAGTTACAGATAATAAAGGACATGGACGTGTCATGTCACCCGTCCGAATCAGCCACCGTGACGATAACATACAACACATGGTCATTTTTATCATTTCTCTGAAAGAACAAATCATCCGAGTGTAACTCAAAATATTTTCATTTCGGAACAATAATCCTGCTTATCCCCCCTTCTCCTTTTCTTTCCCCCTCCACCCCCCCTCCCCCTCCTCCCCCTCCCCCCACCTCCCCCCCTTTTTTTTAAGATTTAACATTATTTATTTTAAAACAAGATTAAATTAATCATTTTGGTTGGCCGGATGGACGTGCGCGGGAACTCTCAATGTGGGAGGAAACCGGAGTACCTGTGGAAAACCCACGTGGTCGAGCAGGTGACTCTCATACCTTTTCACATCCGTTTCAGGAATCGAACCCCGAACGTCAATGTGAAGGGCAAGTGCGTTACCACTGCGCTATCCGACCATCCCGCTTATCTTTTAATTTCATACCCAGTGGTTTCCGATTCCTTGACTTGTGTAGACAAATTTGTAAATAGCATTTAATATGATTGATTTCCAATTGTAGAAGATAGATCATGTATGCGAACTATTAACCCTTTCTTGACACTTGTTCGTTTTCAGAATTTTAGGCGATGATAATTACAAAGCTCGTCTACTACCCAGAATAAGATTTTAGACTTTTTTTTTCATACACATATATTATGGTATCGTCACTTGTTTGTTCTATATTTACATAGATTGATACTTGTGTTACAGATAAGGAGAAAAGAATAACAGGTGGGACCGTTTCACGACACTTACGAGAAGACGAGGATGGTGATATCCAAGTCACGACCTCTGACCTTTCCGATATCTCCGACACAGAAGACGACAGATGCACCCGACCAAATCCAGATATTGCACCAATGAGCCAATCAAATAAGTTGTTACTGAACTTTAGTAGGGCAGCTCAAACATCTCCACTTTTTGTACCTCATCGATATTTGACAACGCCATCTACTGTTTCCAGAACAGGCACTGCAAATGCAGTGTCGTCAAACATTGGTAACCAAATAAATGCTAAGCCAAAAATTTGGTCGATTGCAGAATATGTAAATACATCAAGCAAAGACAAAAGTGATAATAGGAATGTACAAGAGTGCGAAACACCATCTCAACAAAGAATTCCAACATCAAACGACGATAGAAAAATCACCGTGAGTGAGACTTCACATGTAGAAAGACCTATTAAAAATGCACACAAACAAACAAGAGGCGAAGGTACACAAGGCAAAGCACTCAACCTATCTTTGAGCGAAAAGGAAAAGATTCAAGATGAAATATCAACGTCACCACACACAGGTACGAAGAGGAAATAATTACTTTTCATACTCAATGTCTAGAGCTTTAAGAATATCGAAAGCATAGTAGTAATATCTTCATGTCTAGTTGCAAGTCTTAAATGAAATCCTTTTTAGTTACGGCCACAAAGAAGTAATTGATTTGATTAAACATATTGTAAACCTGAGTTTGAATGTGCTGCTATGCATATATCAATATGAGAGCACTTGCACGAATATCAGGCAACGCTGTACCAGTATCAGCTTTAGGATAAAAGATGAAAAGTTCAAGAAAATATTATCCACTTGTGTGGAGGCGCTTTTACTTATGCTGTATAAAACATCTAAGGTATTCATGGCAATTTTGAGATACAATTTTAGTTACTTCACTTTAATTTGTTTATTTCAGATTCAGAATCCAGTAATAGGTAACCCGGAAATGAGAACATGTAAATACAAAGACATAATAAGTGAACGCCTACATTGGGATTCGTCAGGTCACGTAACTGGTTCACATTCAGTGGATTATTGCAATGTGTTTTATAACTTAATCAAACCAATCGGAGTTTGTGCTGTGATTTGGAGAAAGCATTGTAGAGATACGATGCTAGAGATTCATTGAAATCACAAACGTGATCAGAGATGTGATGATAGTTATACGTTAAGTGAAATCTGACATGTTGAGCAAGTACATGTGTACTATCTCATCTTTACCGTTGTGAATGATTGCTATGTTCAGTATTATTCGATGTAATTTGACCAGCACGTGTAATGAGGATTTATAACCGATGTCAATAATTGCTGTTTATTATACATGCATGTATAATTCAAAATTCATGAGGATAGACAAAATTAACGTGATAATGCAGATTTGTATCATAGACCATGTTTAACTGACTACACGTGAAATGTTGAATATTTACAACACTGGGCGCGTGTGCATCACACAACAAAGTGCTAACTTAAATCAGACAAAGTGGGAAGGTTTATCTATGCATATATTATCATATACTCTATTTATCGAATAAATCCGAACTGTTTATATTATAATCGTTCTTGTTCCTTTTAATTATACAAATTTATTCATTGTTTTGCATTAAGCATTGACGATGCAAAATGTGTATTGAATAGATTTATCGCCTGTAAGTATTTTGTTTATATGCAATGCACGATATTGGTAAACGATTTTTAAAATAAGAGTACAAGACGGAAAAGTCGCAGAAGGAGGGATAAGACACTAATATGTTCAGATAAGGTTTTTGTGCTATTTGTTGTCATCCTGGTCATTGTTATCAGACGATCAAGGAATAGAATTTAAAAACTTTTTTAAAAAAGTTCTAAAAATGTATGTATAATACTTCAAATATTACTGCACATCAATAAAGATTATCCATTAAAAATATTCTCAGTATAGTAGACATTCAACAGGATTATGTTTTTTCATAACAAACGCTGTAGGTAATGTATACTTCCAGTTGACACTTGCCAGCTGTTTAGATCCTAGGGTGAGGGCTGGCCAGATGTTATTTGCAGTTCGTTCATAAAGAAAACGGTAACTTTAACAAAAAAAACTATCAAACGAGGATAAAATTATTAAAGGGAAGATTTTAAGACACCCCCCTCCCCCCTCCCCCCCCCCTAAAAAAAAAAAAAAAAAAAACTGATATTTGAAAAAGTTCTCCTTTGTTTGCCTTTCGAATATTCAAACAAATGTGTTCGTTAGCAACACAAGAGTGAATTTGTAACGCATCTAAATGCATAAACATTCATGAATACCTACCATTTCGGCTCAAATAGTTGTGAACATATAGATAACGGAACGATAACATAATTTTAGAGTTAGAGAGAATGTCTTTTCAATCGGAAATAAGAGGCATTGATAAGACTTTACTAATAAAAGATCTACTGAAACAATTTACTTTTTCAAATCTGAACAGTACCTCGTACTTCATTTTGCTTGTTGCATCATTTTAATATTTCAAAGAGTACGAACTATGACTTCACCCTTTAAAACATACACAATGTATTAATATTACAAGAATGAGTTGTGGAAGGCACTTATACAACAGAAGGCGCTAACTCTTTTGAAACACATGGTCTTATTATTATTAATATCATCATTATCGTCGTCATTACCTTATTTTTTTGGAGTTTCTTGTAAATTTGAATCTGGTAGTATTTTTGTCAATTTCTAATTAGGATCTACCGCGTATATTCGTGTAGTGAATAATATCTCGGAGTAATTGATCAATTGCAAGAAAATTGTTTCGGAATACTGAATAAGTGTCGAGATACTGATTATTTAATTTCGAGTACAAACATGTTGTATTCAATTTCATTGTAATAAGTAATAATGTTACCAATTTGAAAATATCCAATGAATCTATAATGTCTTTAATTTCGTTCTAATAGTTTAGAGCAAATTGTAGGTTCCAAAAGTTACCGAGGCTTCGAAAGTATTACGTAAAGGTCAGATCGGACTGCAAACTTTGAGAGAGCTAAAACATAAATCTAATGCCACTGATTCATGTCTATGAAGGCGACCATTTCATTCATACATTAAAATGTAATATTACATGTCTATCTATAGTGTTGGCGATAAAGTATAATATATTTGTATCTGATCTATTTGTATTTTGACATTTTTGACAGATTTATTGAATTGAAATATTACATTTTATTTTCGTAATCTATGAAAGAGATTAAATGTAACAATCTATAAAATACTATATTCTGATTGATACAAATTGTGATTTGTAAAATCATGCAGCTCAAGGTCAAAATTAAAGGAATAACAATATGTTTAGCACATTTAATGCTTTTAAAATGATTGCAAAAAAATCTGGAAAACCATAATTTGGGTCCTTGCCTCAGGTCGAACCTATTAAATAGTGTATCGTGAACATGATCGTTGTTTTAACAAGGAAATGCGTTTTATTCATATAAAAGTAATTTGGTCGTTTCTTATTCTCATCAATATAGAAACTCCTGACTCGTAGAAAAAGTGTCATCAGCGCCGCAGCAAAGTAGTTACAGTTCTTAAACAATGTCAAAGAAAGACGCAGCTTCTTCCAGCCCATGAAAACCATTAAATAACGTATATTTTCTTCACAAATCAATAAAATATGAAAGAAAATATCCAATGGCCACCAAGCATTTGCTAAATTAAATGTGTTGTCTGTGAGTTTGGATCCTATTTTAGTCATGGTACTTAACAGATGGTTTGCTTATCATACATCTTTTCGTCTTGTTAGAAGCTTTTTTCAGTACATTTGTATTTTGACATCAGACACTTCAAAAACCAATGCTAGGACTTCAAGTCAGGCAACAGGGAACAAAAAAATGTCCTATGTTTTGTTACTAAGTATCAAAACAAATAGTTAGAAAATGAAGTTGGTTTACGGTTTAGATAGGCATATCCTCCAGGTGTATTGGTAATGATAATGAATACTTCGGAGATGAAAGGCGAGGCATGACGATGCTTTATCTAGGGATTTGTTGACATAAACAGCCTAAATCTTTGTCGACACCTCTAAACAATGTGTTTGAAGCGATACGGTGGCCACTCCATCTAAACTCTCTGATTAAATGGTAATTACTAACCCATCTGAATCTGTATTGATATTTAATGACTGACAAACGGTCCCAACGCTTGCTTGTTCCTGACCACGAATAAGCTTAATATTAAAACGCCTTGTTAACAACGTTCCGAATCAGGATTTCCATTGATGAAGACATGTCCGAAACTGTCGAGATGACCACATCACACGGCCATTACGACTAGGCGGCCTACCTCAAACAACTCAAAGTATTGGACTTGAAAGTGACCAATGGACAGTGTCGACACCTGTCCAAACAGTCATTTATGATGTGTTGAACATACGCGTTTGACTGTCAATCGCCGTGTATCACTAGATGAACCCCCAGCAATAAACACTGTAAAACGATACATTGATGCCTTTCTAGTGGGGACATGTACTAATCTCGCCTCGCACAATATATCTGTACAATAGCGCCAACCCATCTGCTTAATGGATAGGAACAGACATGCGCTAGTTTAATTCTGCACCTCGTGTCGTTTTTATCGAACATGGGGCATATACATATGTATATGAGGTGTCATTTTTCACGTACCAACACTAAATAAAAGAAACAATTTACACGAAGTTAAATATTCGCAGTAAACATTACCATTACCATACATAACCATGAAACAACAATTACTATGAAGCATTATTTATTGTTCAAACAATAAAAGTTTTCTTTAAAAAAATTGATATAAATGAACAATACAAATTTCTTTAATTTACTTGAAATCTTTTTTTTTTTCTTCTTTTTTCCCCCCAAACGAAATCGTAAACAAACGTCTTTTGAAAAAGGAAGAAAAGCACATTATGTTGTTGAATGACGTTTATTTAATGTAACCTTACCTTTCGGGATCTTCTGACAAAATCCTGTTAAATACATATAAAAATGTAAACGGATGCAATACATGATACCTAGTAAAAAGCGCATTTCAGTGTGATTTTTATTTTGGTCGAAAATTATACTATAACACTGTGCAATCCTTTAAGACGTTTTATTGACCAAGAATGGTGACCTCAAGAAATGGAGATCGAAAAAGCAACACATTCAGTCAAATTTGTTATAGAAACAAGACCAACAAGAATGTACCAACATGTAAACATAATCATAATCCAAACTCATATTCAATCAAACTAAAGACTTACGTGGAGACTCCCGAAAAATGTACATATTCATAAGGAAAATGAAACCAGGTGCTCCAGAAGAGTAATTGAAGAGTAAGCGTCTTGTTAAAGTAAGAATATATAAAGCATGAATAATACAAAATGACATATTGTATATATCTGCGCATTTTTCAAAAAGAGTTCGTCATTTCACCGGTCAGGTTTTATATAATTACATAAAATTTGACATTTCCGTTTTTATTAAGTTCTATGCATTCAACAAATTGAAACCCGAATGATATTAATCATTCAGAGTCGTTCTCTTTGAAGAAAACATTCTATCTTTGACATTAATCGGTTCATATAAAACATTTATCATGCGATTCAGAAGCAACATCGCCTACGTATAGGAGATGTATTTGCGATATACTTGCGTTATTTTATTTCAAAATTATAAACTCTTCCGTAATAGTCATGAATCATTTTCACGATATCAGGTTACCTGATGAATAAGCTTGACTTATCCTTCACCTCTGTTCCAAAGGAAGTCGATAAGATATACCTACAACTGTATATAAGGCGCATATGTTGCGTAATCTTAACACGAATATGTATACATCTTGTCTTTTTATGATGCACGTGTCTGTCCGTTTGTGTTGTTCAAGAAATTGAATTAATAGTATGCGGTTTTTGCAAAACTTCAAAGAACTTTTCATCAATTTTTAACACTCTCTTCTAAAAAACATTTCTTTCTACAAGAACATTTTATTTTCCCTCTCTGTACGCCACCA